TTCAAGAATTTCTTTTCTAAAAAAAGAAATAAAAAAAGTGCCTAATCTATTAGTACCTAAATATAAAGTTAAAGATATTATAGAAAATTTATTATTATTTATAGTATACTAGTTATAATAATAATATAATTTATAATTTATTAAATATTCTTTTAAAATTAATTAATAATAATGATATTATTTTTTAGTTAACAAAAAAAAGAAATTTTTTACATTAATAATATCAAACTTTAATTTAATTAGTAATAAATAATGTATTTTGATTTAAAAGTTATTAATTAAAAAAACAGTATCTAATGGTCTTTCTTTTTTTTTATAAAAAATGAAGAAATTAAAGTATTATTTAAGTTTATTATACCTGAATTTATCCTTTCTAATCATAAAGTAATTAGTAATAAAATATTAAAGAATACGGATAAATCTCTTTGATAAGATATTATAAGATTGGCAGTAAATGATAAAAATAGAGTTACTGTAACTTTTAATAGATAAATAAATATTAAGACAGAATAATTATAGAATATAATATTTGTTATATTAAAAATATACTTTTACGAAAAAAATGATTAGAAATTCAAAAATTGAAATAATAGTTGAAATAATTAACTAATAAAAAATTTTTTTATTATTATTAAAATCTAAATAAATTTATGTATTGTAATAAATAGTATATATCTTGAAAATTTTGTGATAATTAGAATTTTATTAAATTTTTAATTTTAAAATTTAATTAAAATGTTACATAATTTGTGAAAATTTTTGGTTATAATAAAATTGCAAATTTTTTAGTTTAAAGGTATTTTAGTAATTAAGTAAATGTATTTGATATAATAAAAAAAATATTATTCTAAAATTTTAGTATTAATGAATAAATACTCATGATAATTCTTACAAAATTAATTAAATATTCTAAATTTAAATATGATCATCATAATGTAATCAAACTAATTAAACAATTAAATAAATAAAATATCAAAATCTTTAATCGTAATAATTAAATAATAAATATAATATTTCTTTTATTATATTAAAATACATTTATTTAATTACTAAAAATAACTTTTAATCAAAAAATTTGTAGTGTTATTATAGCTAAAATTTTTTACAAATTATGCAATTTTTTAATTAAATTTTAGAATTAAGTCTAATTGTCATAAAATTTTCATAAATAAATACTATTTATTATAATGCATAAGTTTAAAATAAGTTTACTTAGAGCATTAAAGTTAATTTTATTAATAAAAAAATTTTTTTTCTTATTAGTTGATTTTAATTATTATTTCAATTTTTAAAATTTTTAAGTTTCTGATCATTTTTTTCAAGAAATGTATAATTTTTAATATAAAAGGTATATAAAAAGAAATGATAAATAATATAAAAAAATATATTTATGTTAAGATATTTATTTTAAATTCAGCAGGTGAATATATTGCAGTAAGGTAAAATTTTAATTTAATTATTTGCTAATATTTATTAATAATAATATTTAATATGTTTTATATATATACTAATGGTTTTGAGAAAATAATATTTAAGTAAAATTTTTTTATTTTGTAAACACAAAATGAATCTTATTTTTGATAAATTTTCAAAGAGCAAGAATTATATCAAAAATATTAAAAGAAGTAATTAAATAAGTTAGCTATTTTAATAAATTAGTATTTTATAGGTAATATTCATGATGAATAAATAAAACTTTATATATTTAGTATCTTTAGATGATATTAAGTGAAATAATTATTGTTTTTTATGTTTACTCAATTTTAAATATTTAAGAAATTAAAAGTAAATATTATAATGATATTATCAATTAATACTAAAATGTTGATAATTTCATATTCTAATATTATATTATCTTAGTATATTTCAGCAAAATTTAATTTATATTAGATTAAGATTATATTACAAAATTTACTTTTTTAATGTGATTTTAAATAAACTACAAAAGAATATAGCATAATTATTTGAAATAATATATTATTTTATATATATAATCAAGTATTTAAAGTATATAAAAATTTAAATTTTAGTTTACGAATAATAAAAAATTTGAGTATTTAAAAAAAGTAAAAATAACTCTTCTTATTCTTTTTATTATTGCAAATGATAAATTAATATAGACTCATGTTAGCTAATAGTTAAAATATTATTATTAAACTTTTTTACTTATATTTTTTAAAAATTGTAACTAAAAATAATTTTTTATAAAAAAGTAAAGATTCTTATGATATTAAAAATTTTTTATAATTTAATAATAACTTAGTAAATTATTAGGATTTTACAGCTGGTATTAAATTAAAATTTGTAAAATTATAATTAAGATTACTGAACGAAATCTTAAAGTTTTGTAAGTAGTCTAAATAGAAAAAAGTAAAATTTAGCAAAATTATAGTTTAGATATTTTGTCAAATCCAAATGAATTTAGATAAGCAATTTTAGTTACAATTAGTGTAAAATTTACGTGTACAATATGCATATATGCATATTAAATTTTTGTGTACACATATTACACAGTATAAAATATATACAAATAATTACTAAAAATAAATAAATTATATATATAAATGGATAAATTATTAATAAAAATAGAAATATTATATAATACATGCATTAATTTCTATTTTTAATACAACTTGTATACATGACTTTTGATCTAAATTTTATATACTGATTACAATACATATTTATAGAATATATGTAAATTTAGTATTAATTAAAAGATTATGAAATAATATAGGTTTTTTTTTATATAATAGATAGAAATAATTAAAGTATTTAAAAATAAATCATGTAAAAATTAATATATAAATGACTTTTATTTAATTAATAATATTATTTATTTAAAATAAAAAGTATTAAAAATGAATTAAATATATTTCAAAAAATGCAAAAAATTTAAATATTAAAGTTTAGCATTTATATAGCTATATCAATTATTAAAAATAATAATTTAAATAATTCTGAATTTAATAATTTATGCGAAAATGATTTGTAAGTTTATAGTAATAAAGAAAGTGAAAATTAAGGTAATAGGAGTAATAATTTAGTTTTAAATAAACATGTTAAACCTTATACTAAAGAATAGAAGCAAATATAGAATATATTTATTAAAGAGTAAATTAAAATTATTGAATATGAAAATATGTTTAATTATCTTGATAATAAAGTATTGTTAACTAATAAAATGAAAAATGACTTTAATTTTAAAGGAAGAGTATAGTTTTACCAATTTTAAATATAATGTTACTTAATTATAAAAGTTTATAAAATTTTTTAAAAAAAAATTACTTATATATATAAGTGATTAAATTTCTTTAAAATCTGTAATTTCTTAATTATAAGAAATGATTAAGGATTGTTTAACATTCTTAAAGTAATAATAATTAAAAAATATTATTTTAATTAATATTTAACTAATAAATGATTTTTTAATTTTAAATTTTAATTAAATTAATTAATAAGATATAATTATATAAATTTAAAATATATTATAAAAATAAGATTATTTTATAATACTTGAAAATATAATATTATATTTATCTTATAAAGCAATATTATATTAAATAATTTTTTTCTATTAAAAAAACTATTTTAATTTATTTTTAAAAATAATTTTATAATAAATAAAGCAAAGTAATTAATATATTTTAAAATTAATATTTTTTAAAATATAATTTTTTATGATAACTTTAAAAATTTATTGATTTAATTAAATATTTATTTTCAAAAATAAATATTTAATATATAATTAATATTTTAACAGATAAGTTTTAAATATTTAAAAGATAATTTTAAAATAAAAGCATTAGATAAAAAAACTAAATGTTAAATTTATTATTAATATTTTATGTAATTATAAATAAAAAAAAAAATAGTAAAAAGAATTATATAAATATATTTAATATAATTTTATTATTATGTAAATTATATATATATAATTAAGTAATTATATGCTTTCAGATTAAAAACTTATTATATAAGTAAAATTTACTTATTATAATATGAAAATATTCATAATTTATTATTATTAATGAGTTATTAAAATAATACTAAAAAATTTTATTTTTATTTATTAACTAGATAATGTTATACTTCAATTTATAATAAATATAAAGATAATCTTCATAAAGAAAAAAAAATATTATTAAATGATATATTGAGTTATCTTTGGCTTAAAACTTAATCAAATTTCAAATTAAAATATGATTTTTATGTAATTTATAAAAATTAGTAAAAATTTAAAATTTTACAGAAGTTAAAATACTATATGGGAGGTTTGCTATTAAAATCAAGTTACGAACATAGTAAATCATATGATCCGTAACATGATTTTAATAGCTTACCTCCCATATAAAGAATAATATAGAACTGAAGAATACATTATAAAATTAATGTCAAAATAGTAAAACTTATATAAAATATTACTTATTTATTATAATTTGAACTTAAATGTTTCAATTTTATATTTATTATAACAAACAGATTCCATTTATTTTTGCAAATAAATTTATTTGAAAACTGTATAATTGAATAACAAAACTAATAAATTAACTTAATTTTTAAAGAAGACCTTCCAAAAGATATAAGAAAAAGAATAAATAAAATATTAAACATGGTTTATAGAGTAATTTGAGAATTTAATAAAAATAATCATGAATCAAAAAATCTAGAGATAAATGTGATGCGCATAATAAAATAATTATATCCTTTTTTTTGTGCTATTATGTTATCTAATAAACTTTTATTTCATCCAAAGAATTATTTGGATAGATTATAAATTTTATTTTATTTTTTTTTCATCCAAAAAATAATAGTAATTACGAGGAAAATTTCATGAAGGTAATGAAAAATAAGAGGATATTAATTGGGAACATGATAAAATTCTAATTTACTATAATAAGATAATATTCAGTGATGCCAGCAGTTGTTGGAAATGGAGACTGAGTTAACTCTGAAAAAAAAACAAGTAAGTCGTCGCACATCATTCTTTATTTATATTTTCAATTTTTAAAGTAGTGTGCAACAACTTTAATAACTTGTTCATGATGATCAAATTTTGACTTAAGGAAATTTATCAAGTAATCTTTTTTCAGATTTCTTTCTGGTTTTAATGCTTCTCGGAAAAAGTTCAAAGCAAGTGAATCTATAGTTTCACTGAATCGAATTGTACAGAAAACGCTCCAGAGGATATTCCCAATCTCATCCAAGCGATGTTCAAACATATGAAGAGCATCAATGATAACACTATCCTTTAAAATGAATCCCAAACTTATAAGATCGTTAAGACGTGAAATTACATTGGAAACGGTTGGGCAAACCCAATCAGAACTTGGCGCTGATGGAAAAAGGATAAGCAATGCTCCACGCAATACTAAATCATTAAGATCTTCACAGATTTCTTCATAACCAATTTGTTTCCATAAATTCACCAAATCGGGGTGGATAAGTATTGTTCTCGCAATTACGGTTAATTGTCTACGATTTTCATAACCATCTTTGGGAGGGTATTCTTCCGGAAGTGGTTGCTGAATGGATTTTGGCCTGGGTGGAAATGGAATGAACTTTTGATTCAAAATCAAATCTTCGATGTCTTTTAAATTCTTCCGCAGCATTCCAGGTGCGAAATTGATCACGTGAGGACCAGCCGAAAGGAAATGGAATAGTTCCATATCATTTCCTTTTAAAGGAACCGCATTTCCTAATTGATTGCATCCTTCGTTTAATAAATAAAGGAATACTGGTAAAGATAAATTGCTGGCCCATGGTGATTTGATTTTTTGCTGGAATGCACAGATTCTATCGGCCTCAAGTTGATTAACGTTATGTTCAATTTTCAGATCTATCAACTTTTGATCGTACTTTCCAAAATGCATTAATAACCTTTGAACGAAGTATCTCGAAATGATGACCTTTCTTGTAAGTAAATTTTGACATACTGGAATGGTAAGAAAACTTGGTCCTAACTTTACGGCAACAAATAACGCATGAGTTTTTCCTGAACGGGCTAACAGCCATTCCGTTTTAGCATACGAATCTTTTGCGACAGCTGCCCAACTCTTACAAGAACGAGCTAAATTAAAAGGATGATCAGCATGTTTAAAAATATTTATTTTAATTTCGTCTTCCAGATATTGAAAATATGAATTTAATCTATACATAACGCTAATAATTAAAAATCGTCCAAAGTTTCACTTTTTTATTTTAATTACAAAGTCGGATGAATTCCAAAAGAAAATGCTCCTGATTAAGAACAAAGTGAAAGTTTTTTTATAGATGATAAAGATAAAAAATATTTTGAATGAATAAAGTTCTCATTGAAAATAAAACTTTATCTATCCTTAACGCGGTAAATTTTTTATTCTGATCACGTGAAATGAATGTTGCGTAAATTCTATTGGTTCACAATCTGATTTTGTCATCGCGTAAAAAAATTTTAAATAATTAAGATATACTGTATATAAAAAAAAATTTTAATTTCAAAGACGGGAATCGATGTAAAGATTCACTCAATAAAGTTTTTGGAATCACATGAACATGAAAATACGATTGATTATCATTAATATTTCATTCTACTTCCCTTCGACATATGTATGCCACATTTTTAAAAATAAATGTATGTAATTATTATGAAAATACATATGTAGATTAGAATGCATTTATATTAAAACGAGCAAGTTACGAATTATATATAAACGATCTGCTTGTTGATAGCACTCGGTCTCGCTGATAAGTCTCAGCATATAACTTTTCAAATGATTCCCGCATGCAATTGCCACAACTTTTCTCGTTTGCCGATCCTTCCATTATTATCGTCCGTTCCCATAAAAATCGAACAATCTATGTAACTAGTTTATAATTGTGCTTAATATCATGTCTGGACGATTATACAGATGGTGGCCTAAATGTTCCGGCCAATTTTCAATATTAAAAATGGAAATTTGTATTTTGCGCACCTTGCACAAAATGCACCCATGCATATTTTTTTTTCTATGCACGTATAGTAAATTATTAAATATGAATTCTACATGGGTGTGTAATATACATTCCATGCGTAGTTTTTTTTGATGCGCAATCCATATGATCATGTGCATGATCATTTATTAGACTTTTAAATAATAAATCAATTGTTTAATCAATTGTACAGTACCGCTTCTTTTTATTCTCTCTTTCCTTATTTTTTTTTTTTTTTTTTTTTATAAATCTTATTGTTGAATATCCTTAAAATGAGCGTTTCAGAATCACTTTCAAGTGATAATTCAGATTTCAGATAATGAAAATTTTCCTAACGATTTTATCGAAAATATTCTTGATAGTGAAAGTAGGCGTCCAAAAGGAAGACCACCGGATACTGCAAGATTCAAAGGACCTTTAGAAAATAATGTTAACAAAATTCGCAAATGTGGATTATGCAATGAAAGTGGACTACATGTCCAATGAATATCAATCGAAAAGAAGAAAGAATGATGATTAGTATTTAGAATGTTTAATTAATATGGCTCACATTACTACTGTAATTCAAGCCTTTCGGCTTGAATTACAGCAGTAATGTGAGCCTGACTCCCTTCAGTCGCCGGGAAGGCAAAAACTATTTTCATTGCTATTTGCTATTTGCTTATTAGACAAATTTTGTAATGAAAGTTTATTATTTGTGAAACATTTTATTTAATTATACTTAATATAATTTTAATATAAGGGTGCGTACAAAAAATCAAAATGTATTGCTTAAATTTTAATAAAATTTTTAAAAATTTTATAAAATGCGTAAAAATATTGTATTTTAAAATTTTACACGTATTTTACGCACCCTGCATTTTGCGCAGATGCGTAAAAAATAAAAACCCTTAAAAAATTTATATATGTTTTACAAAATTTAAATTAAAATTTAACATGTTTAATACGTCTTCCTTTATTGAATTTTACAAAAATTTAATAATTAATTCTATTTCCATTCGCGGAAATAACTATATTGACCCTCTGAGGCATAATATTGATTAATTTTCGATAATATTCAGGAGGGAGATCATCCCATGCATATTTGACATATTCCATAAATACACTAATACTAGATAGTGGTTGGTGAGCGACGGCGAACCATCCTTGTCATTTCCGACCAAATATTCTCAATAGGAACGAGATCTGGCGACTGTGTCGGCCAGTCAAGCTTCACAATTCCAACATTTTCAAATGCGGCCACATCTACCTTTAAACGATGTGGTGCAGCATTATCTTCCTGAAAAATTCCATTACCCCGCAGGAAATGTTATGCAAGGTACAACAAAATCAATAATAACTTTTAAGTTAATAAATATTATTTGGGAGGGTTTCTAGGAAAATCAGGTTCCGAGAAATTTTTGATTAAAATTAAGAGCTTAATGCATTTTAATCTAATAACATCAAGAACTAAAATGCAATAAAAATCTCGAATTTTGTTAAAAAATTCCCGGAACCTGATTTTCCTAGCAATCAACCCAATTTGTTTATATTAATTGAGCCTTTTCAAATTGACTTTTTTGACCTTTTCTCTTATTGTTTGTAACAATAAAATAATATAAAAAAAAAAGTCAAAATTTAACCGTTTGAATAGGCTCATAATAACACGGCACAACAAACTGGCCAGATCATTCAGGCCACCATCTGTATTTGAGATTTCCAGAATCTGAAAATGACGAGTAGAGTTATGGAAAATGAAAAACTCAGCAATGTTAGTAAATATCACATTGATAATCATGTTATCCATTCAATATAAATAACCAAATAATTTATTTTTTTATAATTAACCTTGCAACTTTAAAACAATACTACGTAACTTTATTCTTTAGCAATTTCGTCTTAAGGGAAGTCGTATCTTTACATTGATTACCTGAAGCTGAGGATGAACGAGTTCAAATGATGTGGTATGAATTTTAGGAGACGCAAAGTTAATCAAATAATCGATTAAATGTCTTTGAATGACTCATGATACGTTATGATCAACCAACCACTACAGTTTCCACGAGATCCAAAGATAAAGCAAAACAGATTGGGGTAGAGGATCGATCAAATCGTTCTACATGTCCATTTAATTCTTTGACAAAAGACTGACGCATCAAGTGAAGGAGAATCATCATCACATAAAAAAACTCAGAATCGTAAAGGCGTTAAACTAAAGCACGCACGCGAAAGAAAATGGAGTGAAGAATCTAAAGAATCCAAGACGATCGGCAGAGTTGCTCGAACCAAATACAAAACAATTCTGCGTTAAATCGTTCTGAAACTTCAAGTGCATTATCTGTCACGCAAACTAGTATCAATCGTCGTAAAAGTATTAGCGGGTCAGGTTCAAAAAAAGCATAAAGGATTCTTCTGATGAATAACCTGGTTGATTTTTATTTATTTTTTTTTTTTATGAAATTAACAATATATTTATTTTTTGATGAAAATTTTAATTGTAAATTTTAATTTTTTTAAAAAAAGAAAAGCATATTTTAGAGAAGAAATAGTTTGATATTTGTAAGCCTGTTGGAGATCGACATCTGACAATTTATTTTTTAAGAAAAAGTTATAATTTTATTCAATGAAATTCATACATGTTTTTTAAAAAATAGATTCTTTATGAACAACTGTGTCTTTTTATTTAGAATTAGAATAAATAAATAAAATAAGAAAAAGTATTGTTTATATTCATGGATATATTTAATACTATTTACCCAAGATCCCTTTTAATGATGTAAGTGTATGATCTCGCCACTCTTCAAGGCTCTTTCAAAAAGTTGGATATTTCTGAAGAGTAAACACTATGGTCGTCTTTTTCCACGACAAGCTGTGAGAAAGCTCAAGGTACTGTATATATCTCGTTCATAATTGTCAAACTAACTTTTTAGGCTTTCATAAAGATGCAATTCATCACATGAGCCATTTACTCTCATTGCAGAATAATGAAGTGATCCAATGGTGAAACTTCTCTTTTAACAATAAAATGATGGAGAACTAGTAGTATAAATTGAGCACGTAATTTAATTTATATTATAAAATAAAGTGAACATTGGAAATTTTATTTTGCTAACTTACAAATAAATTTGTACTCCATTACGCATTAATAATTCCAACTTCATTGAATAAATTATTAAATCGAAAAAATAATTCAATGAAGCTGAATACGAAACTGACCAGGATATCGTAATGAAACAACAGGATAAAGCTTTGGTGGTAAATCTTTCCATTCTGATACCGATGGATATCTTGTTCCATTAACGGTAAATGCACATGTCCTATTTTTCATATCTAAATGAACTGTAACTTTGCTATTATCCTCTTTAAATGGAGGACAATAACTTACCGGTTTTTTAGAATGATGATATGTTGAACCCGAAGTACCCAATATCCATCCAGCAGACTGATATCCCGCAAATTCTTCATAATCAAGATTTTCTGATGTACATACTCCAACCCAAGCCCATACACAATTTTTCTCAATAATAACATCCCATTCAAAAATACCATCATTTTCTAATGAGAATTTAGCTCTAACACTTTGATGTGAACTAACACCATCTGGTGCTCGTACGACTTGTCCATTATCCTCAATAATAAGATTTGATCCACACGCAGTTTCGTCAAATGTTTGTAGAACTCCACGTATTTCATATAAAATTATCTTATTTAATAAAGTATTATGTCGATAAACATTTAAAATCGTTTCAAGCGGGATAATGTTTAATGGCTCAATGATGTTAACTAGAATTTGGCCTTTAATTCGTTGAAATCAATGAATTTTATCAAAGGTTCTAATTCCTTAGAAATTTTCTGGTAATCTGGGATATGCTCTTTATCAATTTGCTTAAAATTATCTATTTGATCTAGGGTTGGTAACCGATTCAAAAGAGACCTGCTTGCATCATTAGATACCTGTTTTGCTACCAAAATAGCACTATATCGAAAAACTTCATATTCTGGGGTTGCAAAAAGTTTTTCCTTTTCATAAGAGCATGATAAAAGAATCCGAAGTGCTGAAGTAGATAAACGACCAAATTCAATAGAATTTAACGGAATAGTTGAAACCGCTCCAACTAATAAATCGAAAAGATTATTATCTTCTGTTAATGGCATCGCATCGACGATTTCAGATAACAATTCTGGTGAATAATTGTCCTTGTAATTCATTTTCAAAGTATTTCTAACGGTCTCCAAAATAAAATTTTGAAGGTCTGGTAGTAGAAAGTAATCTGCAGCAATAAATGCTTCAATTATATTATCTTTGGTTAAAGATTCATCTTTAACGACTCCTGTATAAATATATTCCAATATAATTTCCATTCCAGAGGAATTAATCTTTGAAAAAGAAATTTGTTTCTCATAACTTTCTCCAATTCTATTAAAAAGTAACCTGTCAAATACTTCTGATCTCGCAGCTAAAATAGCTCTACAACCATATAATTTCTTTTCATTTTTGCATAAAATTTCTATATCACTATATTTTGGGTTATTGATTAATAATCTTAAATCTTGTTCTAATGAATACCCTCTTGTCATCTTCGTTTCTTTTTTTTTTTTTATAGAAATTTTAAAAGGGAAAAAAGAAACAATTTATAGAGTAGTTTTTTTGAAAACCATTTTATGTTATTTGTCTTCCATATTTGGTTTGTGTAATTTCATTCTGCTGCGTCATTGGACATAATTTTTTTTTTTTTTTTTTTTTTTTTAAAAAAAAATTATTTCTTAATATGTTAGATTAGATGGCGAGTATTTTAGAAAAAAATTTAAAAATTTGTCTTCGGACTTAAAGTCGAGTTTTATTACTACATAAAAGTCGTCTCCTGACTTCGGAGTTGAGATTATAAAAAAAAAATAGAAATAAAAAAGACGACTCCGGAGTTCAGAGGAGAGTGTATTCTTTTTTCTATAAATGAATTATTAAAAGACACCTCTATCCTTCAGAAAAGTTTTGTTAATGGACCGAAATTTTTAGATTTATCAGAAAGTTAGGTTTGTATAGTGATTTAAGAAGTAATAGACTAACGAAAATTTTACTGGATGGTTTATAACTATTTATAAAAACATACAATTACACACATGAACAGAATTTTATTTCTTACATATCATAGGTATAAGTAAATAAAATAAGCTCTAATTTTTTTTCTTGAGCAAAATATAATTTTGCAAGAATAATTAAAGTAGAATCATAAGTGCATCATCTCTTTCAATTTAGATAAATAATTTTGTTTAGAAAATAAAAAAGTGTATAATAATCACAAAATGTACACTGTATATTAAAATAAAATAATATTATATCTTTGCGCTTAAACATATAAATAATTTTAAAAAAAAAATTCGATTATTAAATTTAATCCTCAGATTTTCCTTAGAATTGATGAAATAAATAACATATAATATGAATATATAAAAATAAAATAATTTTAAGAAAGAAAATAGATCAACTGTACGAAACATTATCAGTTTAACGGTGACATTTTCACGATAGATGGCTCTTACTCTTATCATATTTTCCGATATGATCGACCACACGATCTTTACCTTCTTTGAACTTTTTCTTTTGCATTCTCTTCTAGAAGGAAAGTATGTTCTCTCAATGATACACAATTTCTTTTCGTTGCGATCA